GTTGGTAGGATAGCATAGTACAATGTTCTATAAAATAAACACACGTAATATTAACAATACCCCCTGCAGTCCAGTAATGGCAAAAAATAACAAAAGAAATTACAAACACAGACAGATTAGAAGAGACTGAGTGACGGCTTTAGACACTCGAATCAAAGAAAACAGAGACCAGACTAGACTAGATACATTCATCCATCAAGTATAATAAATGTAGAATTTTAGATAAAAAAAAAAACAAAACACAACAATGCAATGTCAGGTGCAATTTCACATGCTTTCATTTACCTTCCAGTACAATTCCCAGAGTATTAAAGTGCCTTCGTGCACTCTAGTTTCATTTGCAGTCAGGTGCAACACACATATTTGGAAGTTACTTCATAGGTCACTTTTTTTTTTTTTTTTTTTAAATAAAATAACTATTTGAACCAACGCAGGCAATTCACACTAAGGTGTTTTTAAAGTACCTTTGTTCTATTTGCTGTTGAATGGCATGTGACAGACAAACTTGAAATACCCAGGGCCCATCTCCACTAAACAAGACTACAGCAAATGGGATTTCTTGAAGTGCATTTTCTGCTCTACAATTCTTAGCTTTTCTCTTTTCCCTCTTGGAGACACTGTTCAAAGTTACTCATTTGTCCTTGGGATGAGAGCCTGCTCTGCAGCTCTCATTTACAGATTGCCATGGAGAACAGGCAGTATTTGGGCTGTGACTACGGAGAGAAGCGTCCTTCCCAGACAACATCCTACCCCAGCCTGCCCCAACTGCACGAGCACGCGTGGTGTATTCTCCCTGCAGACTTGCAGCCTTTGGCTCTTATCCGCAGGGATCACCTCCACTGCAGAACTGACCAGATGCCCTGCTCGGGGCTCCTTCTGGACTTCCACCTCTTCCTGCTATCCTACCTATCCAAACCTCAATATTAATTGCAGCAGGAAAAGTAAGGAAAACTCCATGTGGTTTGGCTGTCACTCACCTTGTCCCCAAAACGTCCTCTGCAAAACATGGATAAAGAAGTTTCGCAAACCCTATGATCCCATCTCCCATCGAAGCATGTTCCCACTAACATTCCACTCCTCCCCTTTCATGGGAAATAGTGCAAAAGGGAAACTGCAGTATTTGAGGCATCTTGATGGTGTTGTTCAATACCTACACTTGAACAGCAGCTATGGGGCATAAGTTTTTTTTAGGAAATAAAAATTTGTTTGAGTCATTCCACAATGATGCTACGGGAGGTTATCTGTTGTATCAGAGTGAGGGCTGAAGAAGGCACTCAGGAGGAAAGCTTACTTGGGAGAAAAATAAAAATAATTGTGAGAATGAACAACTAATCATAACTTTAAACAGTCAATGTGGATGTCTCTAGCCTTCCACTGTCTTCCTATACCCAACAGTACTTATATCACAATGTGATAAAATCATTACAATCATTTCCAAGTTCAGGTTGTAGCCAGCGACACTTTCCCTTCGCCACTGCTGCTGTTACATGTGAAGAGGCCCATTTTATGTCCTGCATGATCCAAGCTCAGAACAGTAGGAGCTCTCTGCCGATCAGGAAGTTTTACTGAGGCTCTAGATGTACAAAACACTAATGTTACTTAAAGTATCACGTGCACTGAAGCACTTCAAGAACGTATGTGCTCTGTTAATCCAACTAAAGGAAATAAATGATTTTCTAATCTACAGAGTAATTTAAAATTTCTCCATGAAACTGTAGGGCTATGGAAAGGAACAGTCTGGCTATGCATTACAGCAGAAAAAAATGGCAAACGGTACAAGTTTCATGTGAACCACAACTGTAAGCGAAGTCTCCAGTTTAGTCCATAAAATGTTCTGATTAAAATATTTTACATTTTGTAATGCTATAATAATTTCCGATTTATGCAACAAATTCCACCCATATCCAAAAATACCATATATGTAAATGCTTTTTTATAAAACTTTATACAATTCAAACTCTCATTAGGTAAGCCTATACACAGTTCTCACAATCACCTCGGTAGACAGTCTTCAGAAAAAGTATATTCTTGGAAAGTACATGAACGACAACGCTTCCATGCACCTTCCCTTTTGACAAATGATTCTGCTAAATCAAACTCTTATTGCTCACAATCAACCCAACTGAGTCTCATCACCGACAGCAGCACTCAGGTCCAGCATGCCAGGCCAGGGCAGGGACCTGCTTTCAGCTTTGTGGGACAGAGATAACCAATAAGCCGTGCCACCATTCCTGTGAAGATTTCCACGTCACTGCCGCCCGCCCTGGACATTTCGTACAGAAAGCACCAGGAGGGAGGGAAGGAGATCGACAGCAATGCATACATCCAGTGAGCAGCATCTCCCTCTGCACCTTCTAAGTAATGCTGCATTCTGTTTAATGATTTCTGTGGACACATCTTTAACTAGAACTGAAAACAATCTGAGCAGATACAAGATACTAACACCCAATCTAAAATGTGCAAGAACAATGTGAATATAAAGCCTCTGCAGGCTTCAGTTCACAGCTGGTACTATGGCAAAACACCTCTACAGCAAGCTTTACACAACTTCCAATTAAAAATACTGTTATCTCTCAAGCTACATTTTAAATTAACAGAAATACATCCATAATAATTACCGGTAAAAAAACATGATATATATATGTTTTTTTATTCAAAATATTCTGACAGTTTAACAATATTCCAGGTGCATTACAAACACTGCCATAGTCAACACAACAATCAATACTTAAAGAGCATCCAAACACTGAGGACATTTATTCTAAAGCAGAGACAGGAGAACGCGCTTATACTAAGAGCACACAGATCATTTTCCAATAACTGACTTCTTTGAGGCAGGTGTCTGATTTCTCCGGCACAAGATGGATTAAAATCCAGGAGAGATGAATTACAGAGGACGAAAATTCAGATGTACAAATGTTTTCCCATGTTTTCTAGAAAACATTGTGAATTTATCATACAAGGTCACTATTAGCCTAGACTACCCTAGTGTTGGCTATTTATGGGACAGAACAACAAAATCATAACAGAAAAACCAGCATCAAAGCAAACAAAAACACAAACTCTATCTAGGATATGGCTGAATTTAGTTTGCAGAAAGTTGGGAATATACTTACTTAACTAGATGGTGCAATGGAAAGACCAGGTAGGAAAAAACACAAAAAACTTTATCTTCCTGGTATTTTTCCTTTAGCCTTCCCCATAACTTGCATAAAGTTTTCAACAAAATGATACTGCCCATCCTGCAGACGTCTTATCCCCTGCTTCAAAAACATTACGTTACTAACAGACTGGTTTCATTCTTTAATGTATTGGCCAATATTAGCCGTAAAGTTTAAACAATGTTGTTCTACACATAATACCCTGTTTCTTCCATTTAACCCAGGTTCGCAAACAGCTAAAATTTCAGCTTCATTTAAAACAGCATATTTGTTGGAAAAAGTATTTTCTTTCCAATATAGAAAAGCAGACGTCAAATGGAGATCTTGCAAAGACATGGACACAAATGAATGCATAGTGCAGAACATCTTACAGAGAGAGCAGCAAGGCCACCATGCCACATCATGTCCACATGGAAAAGCTGTATGTTTCCAATGACCAAATCCATTGTAAAAAGTATTAACTTCTAGGGCTTGCTTAAAACATTAAAATCTTGCTCTGTGGATAGCAAGACCCTCCCACCTCGACCTTTCCTGTAGCTGACTATATACAGAAGGCAGGGCAGCCATGTACACAGCACAGAGACACACCAAAAATGCTTTGGATGTGTCATCCCCATCTCAAATATTCCATATCAAACCTTGAATTTTGCCTGTGAAGAAGAAGGAAGTGGGACAACTTTCACATTACACAGCTTGCCTGTGTGTCATTTAAAAAAAAAAAAAAAAAAATCAAAGAGCCAGCTTTAGCCCAGGGTGAGAGAGCCATGACTCCACTGCAGCAAGTGAAGGTACATCCGTTTGCTCCAGGGCTGAACTGGATCTTTGCAGTAAAGGGTTCCTCACCTGCCTTGCTCCTCGTTTCCAGTCGGTGCTCCCCAGCAGTGGAAATGAGAAAATCTTGTTGCAAAAATACAAGCGGCAAAGGGCTACAGGACCTCTCTCTATGCTCACTCCAAACACCTTGTTTCTCCATTCAATTAGTTTGCTTTTAAAAGCAATGTTTTGGGAGAAGGGCCATGAGAACAAAGGAGGGAGACATTTCTCCTAGTCACAACATGGGACACCCCAATAACAGATTGACTTAATCTCCTAAACCAAATTAGTTCCTGAAGCATTTCGCCTTCGCATTCTTTTACTCTTTTTTAGGAACAGTTTCTCTAGCAGTTGTGCAGTTTAAACCTGTTATGATATTTTAGTCCAGCTTTTTCTTAGCACCTCAACAGAAACTCAGCTGCAGCTTGTCTGCGGTGAACATCGGCCAGGGACAACGACCCGAGGGGGAAGCACCCACACCAGGGCTGACAGAACGGCAACATCACCCCCCAACACTGAGAAAAGCACTTTTTGTAGTTAACACTGGCTTCCAGGTCACATTACTGACTCGAAACGGGACTGTCCTCCAAGTAGGGTTATCTCCAGTTATTCAAGTACAGTAAACACAAGAGGGCAGTACTGAGGACATCAATCCTGCACATGAAGAGTTTTCAGTCCGCTTTCTAACATCCTGTTAATGGAGATACAGCTCAGTGTCAAGGCCAAGTGGGCAAACATTATCTATGCTAAAGCTGTTAGGGGAATTAACGGAACCCTTGTTAATTGTACAACTGTACTCCTTGGATTAAAGCCAACCATACACATTTCATTGTACTAATTTACCTATCCTGCTTGATCTCAAGTATCTTCATCCTTTCACACTCCCTAATTAACTAGCAATTATTTTCCTGAGTGAGATTATAAAAAGTTAAACCCTCCTACCAAAAGTACAAAGACAAATAAAATATAGAACAATACAAACCCAGTTATACAGCATTACAAGTGCAGAAATTCTTCATGTTGTTGCTCTTCTTTATCATTGGCCCCCAGTAAAAAACATAGCAAAGAATTTAGTTATCCAAAATATTTTGAAGTACTGTGATTAAATTCTTTAGACCATAAATGTAGCCCTCATCCTTTGTGTTGCTAGGAAACACGTGAGCAAAATCTATCATTCGGACTTCTACGTTTGCACTTTCCTTGGTCTCTGCTGGCATGTGACAGAAAACTTTTTCCAGTTGGGGTATAACATTTCCATTCAGATGCTCCTGTGTAATGCACGTGCTGCTTTTCCACACGTTGTCTTGCTCCAAATTTTCCACCTTCAGTGAGAGTTGACTGTGGTGCCTCTTCGAGTATGCTTTTTTGTGAAGTGCATAAAATTTGGACAAGCCTTTACTTACAGAGGCCTCAATTTTTCCGTTCTCTGTAGAATTTATTACATGAATGTTATTATTATACTCCAGTATGTCTCCACCTGATAACAGTCCTTTGGGCACTCCCCTCTTCTCTGCCAAGGTGACATCACTCAACCGCACGGTTGTTGCCTGGCACAAACCCTCGTAAACAAACAGCAATGAGCTCGCATAAAAGTTGAGTTGCTCCTGGCCCTCAAACCACTCCAAAATTTTTTCTATCTTCCGAATGCTGGCAGCTATCGCATCTTTTCTCAAGCAGTACCCATTGTGGAAAAACTTTGAGATGCCTGCAAGAAACAGACATTTTCAGGATGAGTTTCACCTTGGAAAAGAAATCAAACTTCTTTCATTTCTCTTGGGATGAGAATAGTTCTAGATTTGAGGAAGCAGAACTCTGATACCTTCAGTGACCTCCCCTGAATAAGGCTTGACTGTTTAATGCTACTGATTGGACTTGGACTGCAAATAAAACCAAGAAACATATCAAACTTATCACTGGTGAACACGGTTCCTGCTCCCCAGGTCATTTTAGCAAGGATCTGGACAGTGTTAGGCAGGGACCCATTAAATTCTCCATGGATAAAGAAACTCAAGTGGCTCTTTATGAGGAGTGACAGAGCTGACCAATTAGTGGCAGCTCTGGAGAGGGGTGTGTTCGTGTGGGTGTCCTCCTGCCCCTCGGTGAGGGACACACAAACAGCTTTCAACTAATAAATAGTTTGAAATAGTTACCACCAAACAGTCCTGTGATGGCTGTTTTTATTTACTTTTAGTAAATACTTTTATTAATTGATAATGTGGAAAAACATATGGATTGACTTCAACCAAGGAGGTCCCTTAAACTGAAAGATGCTTTTGTAGCAGCTTCCTAATATAAAAGACAGCATATATTCACCGACAACTAGAGATAAAAGTATACATATGATAAAACATTGAATGCTTCAAAAAAAAAAATTTGTTTCGTTATAGTTTCGAAGCTGCAAAGAAATTTAATTCTACCACTACCACCCCCTTATTAATAGTAAAAGATACGTGATAAGGAAATTCCTGTAGACTGCTGTTAAAGCCAACTGCAAACTTAATTTAGCATCAACAGGTAGTTCAAATGCTATAGGAAACTGCTAAAAATCCATATGGCAAGAGAAGAAAAAGGGACTTTTAAATTGGGAACACACAGACTACTTTTTTCATGCAGTTCTATAAATAAATTCATTAAATAAAAATATCCAAGAGCACCAAATTCTGACACAGGAATTCCCTTACCATCCTTTACTGTTTCCTTGGTCAAGCTCCGTCCATAGTGCTGGTTTTGTGTCTCATAGCTGTCAGAAGAGACGTGGTAAACCTGCAAGAAAAAAGTGGGTTTTTTCAACAATTGGTATTTCTGCAGAGCTGGGAGACCCCTTACAGACAGGCTGTGAAACCTCTGGGACCCTTTAGCCCCTGCAGAGTTTCAGGCTTCTTGTGGCAGTCAGCACTGCCCTCTAATGCACTAATCCCTAAAATCCTCCCCTGCTCATCCTGAGGTCTAAGCTACAGCTTTCCTGCATTAGAAAGACATTTGGTTGCCAAAATGCAATGTATCTAGTACAGGAAAACATTTTGTATGACACCTGCCTTGCAAATCAATGCTAAGACTTGAAACTGTCACAATCCTACCCATGTTACTACAAATTATTAAATCACAAAGTCATAACAAGCTCGAAAATTCAATGCAATTAATTTTGCAGTTCTTAAAACTATATTTAGGGCAAAGCAAAACAATAAGAAATAGTACAGAATCATTGACTCGTTTTGATTGGAGAAGACCTTCAAGATCATCAAGTCAACTGTTAACGCAGCACTGCCAAGTCACCACTAAACCACATCCCTCAGCACCACATCTCCACAGCTTTGAAATCCCTCCAGGGATGGGGACTCCACCACTGCCCTGAGCAGCCTCTTCCAGGCTTTGACATCCCTTTCAAGGATGACATTTTCCCTCATGTCCAACCTGAACCTGCCCTGGCACAACCTGAGGCTGTTTCCTCTTGTCCTGCCGCTTGTTCCTTGGGAGAAGGGATCGACCCCCACCTGGCTCCAACCTCCTTTCAGGGCGTTGTCAAAAGCAAGAAGGTCTCCCCTGAGCCTCCTTTTCCCCAGGCTCAACACCCCCAGGTCCCCCAGCTGCCTGATGCCTCCCAAGACTGGGGCTCTAGACCCTTCCCCAGCTTCACTGCCTTTCTCTGGACATGCTCCAGCCCCTCAATGTCCTTCTTAGAGTGAGGGGCCCAAATTCAGCAATTTTGAACCCTGGATTCAAGGTGTGGCATCACTAGTGCTGAGTATGGGGGGATGTGACCAGTAAGGCCCAGCTCCATGAGGTCCATTTGAAACTGTAAGTGCTGGCACAAATGAGATTATACTAAATAAGCGCCAGGAGCCCAGTGGAAGCTCTGTTCCAGCACTGATAGCAGTACATCAGCTCTCACCCAAAAGGGAGGCAACTCGTGCGGGTACAGTTTTGTCCATATCGGGACTTGTGCAAGCTTAACAACTTAATTCAGAAATGTTTTACACAGAGACACATTTTCCCTCTGACTGAAATAATTTCCATAGTAGAAACGTGCCAGCTAGCCAGGCCCAAGTATAATTTGTTTATGAGAGTGCAGACAATTCCTATTTGCAGAACTAACGGTGTTACCAAGCAGGCAGCTGTCTCTGGCAGAAACTGTGCTTGGCACTCGTTCAGACCACCCAACCCTGCAGCACCCACCCCGGCTGCAGCGCGCTGCCCTCCCCTCACCCACTGTGCAGAGAGAGGATCCTACAGAAAGCAAGTTAGGGGCACCAGTGAGGTGCCTGCCCTCCAGCCCTCCTTTGGGGTCTTCTTCTTGCTGTAGCCCACAGAAAAGCCCAGGATAGCAAGACATCAGCGCATAAAAAAGGCAGTGGTATATGAGCAATAATTATAAAACACACCATTTTCTATTTCTGCTGCAGCCCCCTAACCCAAAACCCTCTCCCCCACTCAAACAATGATGAGCACAATATGAAAACACAGCTCCTTAAGCTCCTGCTTTGTGAAGTAGCTGAGAAGTCTCAAATAGCTCTTACTTTGACAAAAAAAAAAAAAACAGAAGTATTTAAATGCAAGGTCCCCAAGGAACTTAAATCCTAATGTCTGGAAACTGATTTAAGTCATCAACCATGAATTAAAGGAGCAGTAAATAATTCTAGTTATCCTAAAGAAATAACAGTTGTAAGCCTAAATGTTTAAACTCACTTGGTAGCAGAGACACTTCCCACTGTTATGATTCCTACTTCCACTCTTAGGATACATCCTAAGAGAAACTGAGGCCCTGATACCTACAGACTGCAGAAGAGCATAGCAAAGCTGAGTTGTTCTAAAAGAGCATCTGACAAGTGTGATTTTGGTGTCATGAAAACAATTGTTTTTAACCACTTTGGTTTTTTTCCCCAAAACATTTAAGAAGTACCACATAACGCATTAACACAAAGATTACTTACATAAATTCTTCGGGAACAGAACTTATTTTCAAAACTGTACAGAAGTTTCAAAAACATTGAAATGGAAAGAGACACAAGCCAGAGGTAATTAAATAAAGCAAAGATTAAAAAAAATACATTGCTTTGGAAAAGGATCAAGAGTCTCATGACTACAGCTAACCTTTCACTGGCTGTGCCTTCATTTTAATAATAATATATGTTTTCATTTACTCAGTCTAGAGGCAGCTTCCTCCAAACACCAGCTCTGCAGCACTCCCCTGAATAATAACCTTGTTTACCAGAACCTTATCTCTTCCCATAGGAGCTAACAGTTTTTGGGACATGGGCACTTGCTCAAAAATGCCGATTAAGATCTGCAAGCTCATTCTGTTTTCCAAAGAAAGGCTGGAGCAGCACATAAGCCCCCTGTGCTTCTCAGCTGGGTTTCCCATGAAGCCACTACCTCTTCTCATAATTCACACAAAACCATTGCCCCCCAGATGGCTTTAGTTTAAAAATACCCAGGCAGATGTGCGTGTTTTGCATTAACAGTGCGTATTAAACTACACAACAAGGTCAGTCATGAACTATGAAGTCCTACATGCATACCAACAGGACAATGTATGTATTTAACTGTCTTGTGAACAAGCAAGGGCTCGGAACAAGCTTGGTTACCACTGGGCTTGGCTGCAGACAATAGCATTAAAAGGCAACATATGTAGGTAACCATCAAAGAATTTTCCATGGTAGCCAAAGAGCCAACTCTTAATACTGCTTGAAGCCTTCTCTCAACTGCAAGGAAGCAACTATTTGAACATTCCTGGAAACCCTCAACAAAATCTGAATACATTGAGCTTCATACTGAAAGCAGACGAACAGAAAACGAAACTCCAACAGAAATCATCTTTCCCCAGGTCCTGCTTCCCCCTCAGCTATCCCCCAGACACAGGGATGGCTGTGCTGCAGCAGCAGCAGACTCAAAACTACTTCCTAGTCTATGGGCCTCTTGCTTCACCATGCTTTTGTTCACACTGTTGCCACTACTAATCTGCTACTAACCCTTCCCAAAAGACTATTTGCCTTTGAACCAACGTTTTTCTGTATCCCTGTTGTTCAGCTGTCTGTACTAGCCCATTTCTTTAAAAACGATGACAAGTCAAATAAGTCAAATCTGTAACCTTAACAATGGCTAAGAAATTATTAGACAGGAAAAATCTCATTTCTTCTCCACTTGCCACAGCTTGTTTTGTTTGCTCTGTATTCACAAGGAGATTCACTGTACAGTACAAGACAAAGAAAACTCTTTGCATGATCTGCAAAATGCTGCCTTCAAGAAAACTCCTGCTTCATCGGTGATTTTTATACATTCTTACTACAGATCAGATCTGGTTTGGCTGACAATGTGAAGACTCCTCCTTGTGCCTACAGGCAGCTCCCCTTTGGTGAGGTTTCTGCACAAATAGAAATGGAATCCAGCATGCTAAGAGCTTCATTTTTTTCATTAGTAGTAGTAGGGACTGTGTATGGGCAGCACAACAAAATATCCAGATGATTAACTGTAGAGGGAAATTATCTTTGGACTTTCCCAACCTGCACTTCATGTTTGTTTCCCCACGAGGTGTTAAGTTATAGCTGCCTGCATACGCACACATATTTTTGTCCCCTTTTGCCAATTATTTTAGTTCGTCTGAAGTTCTTGAATTGAGGGAAAGTTTGAACTAAAATAAAAGGTTGGTCCAGTGTGGTCTTAAAAAAAAACCAAAACAAAACAAAACACACATGCCTTGTAAGATCTCAACAGTGAGATACACAGTTGGGAAACCTTGCAACTGCAGCTTTGGGACGTGAAGCTGAAGACTGGACTGAGGGAAACAGATATCCAGTGTCATGTAATGTTATTTATGGTAATTCAGTACTGATTTCCGTGGCACGGCAGAAAAATACACACGCTATTCAAACCCCTACCTGCAGCAACTCCCTAACTTCCAGAAAGTGTAATTTCAATACGTATTAAGAATAGCCTGTGTAGTGGAGACACGACTATCACAAATCAAAATCTCTGCTAGATAAACTGCAGAGCTCTTCCCCATCTGCAGAAAATATTAACTGATCCACATCAATGAAAGTGGGGAAAAACCCCTCTAGTTTGAGCAGGTCCATCCAGTACTGCAGTGTGGTACCTAACTCATGATGTGGACTTGCTGAGGCTCCCACACACCAGCCGGTTCCTGGGAAGCTCCCCTGGAGCTCCCGGTGCCCGTCCCTGCTCCCCTGCGTGCCCCACGAGGGCAGCCTGGGACCCGCTCTGCTAAGCAAGGACACAGAGCTTACAGAGACACGCTCTGATGCAGAGACATCCAGACTTCAAAGGGCAAAGGGCTGAGCTGTTGACTCTGCATATTTTTTCCATAAATACACTTCACTGTCACCCCTATTTTACCCTCATACAGGTAAGAGCAAGCAAGTGTTTAAATATCACACAGTTTTTCTGTTTACAGCAAGGTATCTGAAGGTCAGTACCCAGCCTGCTGCCAAAACTGGAGCCTAGCCACAAGCAGGGGCAAAGCAGGGAGCATCCCAACTAACCCAGGGACATCCAACACCAGCATCAGGCCCCCACCTTCACAGGGTGCACCTTTCTTTTTCTTTTTTTAAGAAAAAAAATTCCTTATATTGTTGCTAGACCACAAGTGATAGAAGTACACATATCCCTGTCAGCTTGAAAATTCATCACAGGAGGGATGTACCCCTGTCCTGCTGTTTCTAAGACGACACTTACATATTCTTCTATCTCTTCTGCTTCTTTGTTTTTCTGGTATTTGACAGAGTGCTTTATATGATTGAGCATACACCAAACGCTCTGACAATCAACATGATGTCTTAGTAAGGTCCTTACATAAATAAGCTGTATAATGAAATTACGTTGAAATAAATTCAATGAAAAAGCAGACCAATAATCTCCTACAGAGAACAAACAATAACACTGCTGTTAAATCATGAACCATTTAAAAAACAGCTTAGTACATAATTTTGGACTCTCAGGACTTCCAGGGAGCATTGCATGAGAATAAATGTCTTTTATACCTCTTTTTTTTTTGTATAAGAGGGGGAAAACAAAAAAAGCCATCTCTCATCTCATCCATCATGAGCTTTTTCCTAACATACAGGATATCTTATCAGCCATAAGTACACATGTGGAACAGATGTCATATACCTGACAAAACTGTCATGTACTGGAAAAAAAAAAAGCCAGGGCATCCATCTGCTAGAACTTGCCCACAAAGATGACAGGTCAATCTCCTGAACTCTACAAATAAAGTGCTTCCAAAACACACTCTTCCATCCACCAGCAGGCACTGGACTCAGTCCTGCAGCATGGATCCAGCACCGTCAAACTGAGGAATGGATGAGCCGAACTTGACTGCAAGAGCCAGGGAATACCAGTGGCAAGAGGGAAGAGTGGAGGAGGCAGCAGTGCACAGGGGTAGCAGCCAGCATGGATCCCAGCCAGAGCCCCGGCTCACTGCTCACTCCAACCCTGCAAACATCCATTTCCAGACTTCTGGGGGCACGTCTGTTTGGAGGGTTGGGTTGTTTTTGTTTTTCTTCCAGGGCTTTTACTTGGTTTCTTTGGTTTACTGTGAGTTTGTTCGTTTGTTTTTAGTTTTGCAGGGTCATTTTTTAGATTGTTTTTTTTCTGTCTTCTTGTTTGCTTAAACATCAAAGCTTAAATTAGACTCATAAATGTAAAAACCCAGTTCTGGCCATTTTTTTACCATGGAAGAATATGAACACTATATGCAGGGTTTAATAGCTTTACTATTTCTCCCTTCCTAAATCTTGTTATTAACACATCAGAGCTTATGAAAACCACAGTACTAGAAAGGGTTTCTAAAGAACTCATAAAACAGACCCAGCTAAAGTCAGTTTTAAAATATCTTGCAGGAAAACATGTGCTATAGATTAGGAAACTCACTTGTAAAAGCAGCTTTGATGAGATATCTGCATTGCTGCATGCAATAGTTCATAGGCACAAGCAATAAAAGTAAATGATGGATTATACTGGTAAAGTTACGTAATCACTGGTTTCTGCTTTAAAAACGTTCCAGAAATATTATGGACTGTGTGACACCGCAATCAAGATGTTCTGGCAGAAAAGGAAACCCGCAGAAATGGGGCACTGCGGAGTCTGAAGGGATTGAGAATCCAAAATGAGATCACAACCCACACATTCTGCTTGTATCCAACTGCATGCAAAACACTTTTTTTTATACTGCAGGCATTGCAAAGATATTTCTTATTTATGTGTTCACCACCTAAACCATATTGCAACTTGTATTTTTGCTGTTGGAACCGTACCTTAGCTTTCCAACTTATATACAAACTCTCACTACTTTCATAACAAATCTATGTCCTCATCTGTTAAAGAAAGGAACCTCTCTACTTAATATGAAATCAAGGTTCTAACCAATGTTATCAAAATGACTGTATTTTCAAAGTGCTTTTCCATGCATTTGTTCTCTCTATTCAAGGCATTAAGATTAATCTAAGTTGGCACATGCCAAATGCCAGAACTACGTACATAAATCAAAGTTCTGCCAGATCGTAGACTCACTTCTCTTAAGGACAAACCAGACCTATTTGATATACAAACACATGACTGCTTATTTACTGGTGCATAAAAAAAGCTACATCAATGACTTCTGGGGTAGAAACCTAAATCTTGGTGTTAAAAGAGGACACCTAGAAGACATTTTCACTTGTATCTCTTCTTGGCTTATATGACATGCTTTAAAAAACACAGATAACCACATTTTGAATTTTTCCCAGCCCTTCCTTGTTCTTCCAAAACAGAAACTTGATAATCAAGCCCACCTCTGTGTTAGAAACAACACTGAACAGAGAGATTAAAACCAAACCCCTCTGCTTTCTGAATCGTGTTGTACCATGTTTTGCCCAGCAAACATTCTCAATCTTTCTCCAGCACGTCAGCTGTTACAGGTGGTAGATGTCCATATAGGCAAGTGCTTTACATTACAGCCAGAATCTTGCACAAATAAAGCAACCAGGCAAAGAGCAACTCATAATCAAGAGGCAGCAAGCTGAACAGAGAAAACGCCTTGTGAATTTAGACTTTGCTAAGTGTTGGGTGAGGGGAGGTGGAACCTTCTGAATTCTTGGAGAACAATTTCCAACATGCAATTTGGTACCAAAGGCACAAACCAAATCCAATCCAGTTAAACACCAGATGGGAAACTGCAATGCTTTGGGGAACCATCACTGTAGGTACACCTTAAATTAGGGAATCAAAATAATTTCTGCAGCGGCGTAAAGATACCAATAAACACCACTGTTGGAAGCAAGTCACAAGCAAAAATACCATGGAAGCAAGCATTCCTTCCTCTTGCACTGTCATGAAACAAAGGATGTGAAGCACATTGTTTCATACAGGAGATAAGAAAGGTTATGTAATGCCATAAGCCAAATCCAAAGCTATAATCTCCAGCCTTCCCCCTCGACTAAACTTGCACTGGTTTTTGACTCAACTCCCACGTTCTTTCTCATAGGCTTACATAATTACTACTCATGATCACTATAATTTATAGCTGTAAAAGCCTATCTCAAGACACAGTTAAGGCTGAGAGCCTAGGCAATTAAGTAAAAAACATTACAGATATTAGAGTTATTTCAAACAATGGTGCAATCTGTGTCCTGTTGCTATCTAAGAGCAAAGGGGAAGCTTATCAAACTCTTCAGGCAGTTATGCTTGTTGATACAGAGCTTGAGAAGCCCTGGCTTTGCATATGTGAAAAGGGGAAAAAAAAAAACACAACAAAAAGAAAATCATTCCTGTGCCAATCATAGCAGAAAAAAGTACTTGAAATGCATTGCAACAGGAATTCATTGCGGACATCAACACACTCCTGTCACTGATCCATAAATATCCTGTACAGCTTTTCTTTACACTGAAGTTTTAGAGTAGCTGGTACAGTAATACTGAATTTCCACTTTTCTCCTCACTCAAGATAAGGAAACGTCACAGAGTTAGCGTGGACATCTGCAGGGTCTTATCCTTCTCAAACTAACCTTCAACTGACAGCACCTCCTGGAGTACATAAGCATCAAAGAGGTTTTCTTCTGATAGAAAGCTTTTTTTATATGCAGAGTCTAAGGCGCTATTTACAGCTACATGCATCACCTCCGGGAGCTAACTTACTCTTCCCTAAATAAAAAAAAGTTACATTAAAATTATTTTCATTAAAAGAAAAAACAACCAAGATGTAAAATTTGGAGAGGATACAGTTCGTTATTAAATTATTACAAAGACTGGTTCTGTATGTAAATGTCTGATGTAAGCCTAAAAGGCAAAAAAGTACTCCAATAATTTGAAATACTTGCTATGCAAGAATTGAAACCACCTTCAATTTTGAATAACGATGGTCCATCCCAGCCTCTTTCCTGCAGACATGCACAGAACCCCAGTTGTAAACAGACTCACAGAAGGGACCTGCCAAGTTAAACCCTTGTTGGGAACAGGAGTGGTGTGTTTTGGAACATGCTTCACACAGCAGTTGATAACAGTAGTACCAACATATTCAGAAAACACTTTACTTATGTAAAACCCAAGAGGATTTGTAATTTGCTAGAAAAACTAACACTGCTGTATCTGGTGTGGGACAACAGGCCAGAGCAGAAGCTGAATTTGAAAACAAAACAAGGTCTTACCCTCATGCCAAGTACCAAAAAGCCAATCTCTTCCATCAGCGGGTACTTGCTGACCTGCTGCTGTATCTTCTCAGCTGAAGCATACGGATCATAACTTTTCTGACCTATTTTTACATCCATTATGCAAGGCTTATTAAACTTACGGGTCACATCTTCCAGTTTTAGATACGTATCTGTTAAAAAGACAAAACTTTCATAAACAGTGGGTCAAAGCAAAACAATTATATAGTTTCTGCTGAGTTTCTGTGGAGGAAGGAGAAGAGTTTAAAGCTTAACGTCATGTGAGTTCTTTAAGACTCAAATTTGCCTCTCAACACAGACTAAATCACAGTCACCGACACCCACAAATTCCATTGGCTTTAAATTCTAAATGCCTTGTTTCAAAAATTGTATATAATTAAAGTGTGCTAACCTACCACTCAAATTCAAATTATTGCCTCTAATAGCATTCAGGAGTGGCTTTTATTATGCCACTAACATACCTCAAATAGCATTAGTAAGTACATACAAATGCAGGTCACTACATGGCTGGGTTTGCAACGGAGATGGTGGTTTTTTTCTCCATGTGAAAGGGCAAGAATGAAACCAGCAATTTTTCCTTTTGTGTAACTTTCAAAATCAAATTAACATTTCAGAGTCCTACCCTACAGGGGCTGAAATGCATCTCATTTTTCTTCTTTTATCTCACATCCATCTGTACTCATTTCTCACGGCACACTTTTTGGGGAAAACACTCCTCAAATCCTAGGCTGCCCTTCATCCATTTCCAAAAGTCCCTTTGGGAGGGTGGGTGGATCCTCCCAAAAAAATCCTCCAAGGCTGTGGAGTGCCTGAAGATTTAAAGCAGTATCTAAAACCTTGCCAAACTGGTTCAAGCTTTTCTCCAGCACAGGTAAGTCACTCTTACCAACATGATCTACAGCACTGATTGTCAGAACAGAAGAAAACAACCTTCAGTAGCTGCCTGACTTGCAGACAGCTCTGCTCAGAGGGAGCCTGCAGAGATCTCCAGCCCTTGCCAGGGCACAGTGTGCACCGAGACAACTCAGGGCATTAACACGCGCCTCCTTCCTCACATCAGCTCCTGCAGATGCACAGCATCAGCTGCAAACCCTGCACTCAAGTTTCTTTTCCTTTCAAATACAGCCTATTCCAGGAGCGCCTTTGCCTTTAGTGCAATCCAAAAACACAAAACCAATGCACTCCCCATTCCTGCAGCATAATATAAAATGGGATTGCCAAAGAAAGAAAAAAACAGTTCTAGTTTGAAGTGAGGAGAGGGACAAACTGCCTTGTTTTGATAGCTGCACAGACAGGCAACAGAACCAGTTAGAGTGAAGATCAAGGAAACCAGAAGTGTTGCATTTCCAGTTCATAAGCAGAAACCTTTTCTTAAGAATAAGCAATGAAAGGGACTTTGATTACTTCAGTAAGTCTTACTTAGAGCTTCAATTTCTACACCATCATGGTCATATGTATCTATCTGAAATAGTTTTGATTTAATCCTTAGTAGCCTGCTGTATGTATAAACAGGACTAAGCATATTGTGCATGTAAAGTCATTCTCAGGAAAGCCTGTCAAACTAACACACTATTTTTAAAAATCCAGTCTTCTACTACCTGGCTGCACCAGCTGACAGTACTTTACAATGTCAGCTCCATTGATTCTGTAGGAATCCACCTAGCTACAGCAAAAAGTTTCGTCATAGACTACCTCACCCAGCAATCAGGTTTGCTAACTACAACTGCAGGGATATCCACACCAAAACAACTCACACCTTGAGCAGCCACAGGCAGCAAACACACACAGCATTTGTTCACGAGAATCCCTATGGAGAACCAGGACAAATCTTCTCCTTGCCTTATCAATGTTTACAGTATCTAAAGTGCAGAAGCCAAGGGGCTGGGGACAGACCCTTTTCAGTGGTGCCCAGCAACAGGACAAGGGGCAACGGGCACAAACTGGAACCCAGGAGGTTCCACACGAACATCAGGAGAAAATTCTTTCATATGAGGGTACCAGAGCCTGGACCAGAGAGGCTGTAAAGTCTCTTTCTCTGAAGAGATTCCAAACCTGCCAGGGTCACCCAGATCCTGGACACCGTGATCTGGGTGACCCTGCTGGAGCATGGGGGTCAGACTGGAAGATGTCCAGGGGTCCTCGCCAACCCCTACCACTCTGTGATTCTACCAGGAAGTGTATTCTGTACCACCTGAACTGCAGGTGCCACTTTTCCTATTCAAAATTTTTATACACAGGTCTAATTCAGTCAGATATTAGCACAAATTTGGTGGGGCTTTGAGGAACCACTACTGAATGCAGCAGAGTCCAGGTAACTTATTAGCTACCCATTATTAAGATAGTAATTGTAGAAACCTAAGTATCATCCTTCATACCTATCCTTTTTACATATTATGTAAATCACTGTAATCGATAGATTTGTGTTATCAGCCTAAAATAACCCACAAAAAAACCAGCTAGATGAAACTCAAGTTTCCTGTACCTAGCTCTCAAAACCACAGAGCCAGTGGTATGCCATGGGAGGTGGGGACAGAAAATAAATAAAATGGCTGCAATCCCTCACCAATAACTCAAAAAATGCTTCAGATTATGTTGTGAGCATCTCTGGACTCAAACTGCTACAATTACAAAATCAACGAATTGTTTAGATGCAATGTTTTTATCAACCTCAAAATCTAACTGTATATAAAGTAGTGTAAAACAGCTATTTCCATAAAGCAACAGAAAATGAACCCATAAAAATACACTAGCTTAAACAGCAGAACTTAAATCTCCACTTCCCTCCAGACAACACACAGGCAAGAGAGTCATGCTCTTTCCATTGAAAGCATCTGTAGAGAACTCATGGTTATCTGCTGTCCCCTACTCCACTGGTCTAAATCCCTTGTTTTAAGCACACAACACCAACATTCAGCAGCTCAAAAAATATTTAAAAGTACTAGTTATCTCTCACTTTTTAATTTCCCACCCAGTTCAGATCTGTTAAGCTAGAATACCTCCCTTACTGATCTCCTAAAAAAATGTAACAATTACTATTTTAAAAAATAACAAGCATTAAAATAACTTAGGAGCTAACACTAACCCTGGGAAATACTAATTGCTTGGCAAAGCCTGTGAATTATACAGAAATGACTCATCTCTCTCACACTTTTTGGAATATTATTTAAGTCCTCATCATTAGCTAACTGCTAGCTCAGAATTAAGACTATGTTACATCTGTTCAGTGCACACCCCCACTCTCAGAAAGCTTTCTGTCCTTGCAGGGAGAGCAGTGCCACCTCAGTGGAAGCATTATACCAAGTTAATTTTTCTCAATATAGCCTCAGAAAAATGCATCAAGTGTTTATGCTTCATTTTTCCTGGCACTGTTCAGTTTTACTTGCGTTGCATTCAAGATCTACAGTCTACCAAAAGAGACCCCAAAACCACATCTTTCAACAGTCACCCCGACAGAACGTCTGCCTTATGAGGAGAGGATGAGAGACCTGGGGCTTTTTTGTCTGGAGAAGACTTAGGGGGGGATCTAGTTAATGTGTATAAACATATGAGGGCTGGGAGTCAAGAAGGGGCAACCTGTTTTCAATTGTGCCCCATGACAGGAGATGGGGCAGTGGATACAAGCTGGAGCACAGGAAGTTCCACCTCAACATGAGGAAGAACTTCTTTACTGTAAGGTTTTCTGAGCACTGGAACAGGCTCCCCAGGGAGGTTGTGGAGTCTCCTTCCTTGGAGACTCTTAAGACCCATCTGGATGTGTTCCTGTGTGACCTGCCCTAGATTAAATGGTCCTGCTCTGGCAGGGGGGTTGGACTCGATCTCTGGAGGTCCCTTCCAACCCTTAACAGTCTGTGATTCTGAGATCTTGACACACATTCAGGTTCTGACTAAGGTAAATAAAGTAGGTTCAGATCTGGCCATGGTTAGTTATTGCTGCTCTACCTTTTCAAGGCAGGTGCCCTCACAGCCTTTGAGGTTCTGACCCCTGGTGTCAGATCTAACCCTGCCCCTTGAGGTCATCAACAAGTCTGTAGCTGAGCCTAGATAACTATGGCACTCTCCTTCCTCTCCTTGCTTTGTTAAACTAGAAACTGCAGATTTTTCCATCCAGTTAAGATTTTCTAAAATATTATGTAGCACACTGCTAACCCAAGGTGTTTCAGAAAATCATTCATTCACCACTTGAAACCAGGTTAAATTAAAAACCTCTGCAGAGAAAAGAATTCATAAGAACTTTTCTATCTTAGCTTTGGTAGATAATCCTGACTGCATAGTTCAAAGATTTAAACAAATGATTCCTTGGAGGCTTGCCCTCCCCTTTCTATTTTTCAGCAGCAAGGAAGGAGGCAGGAAGATGCGGCCTGATGTATTATTTACATGTTTTATTACAGTCCCAAAGGAGACAAGCCGAAAGACCACCAAAATTTGGCAAGTATGCATGGCATAAACCACTGCAGCCTTCAGCACGTACACACTGATGCATTCAGTCCTCACTGGAATCAGAACCAACGACATAACTGGAGGCATCTGACTTCTCCTACCTCACAAGTCATCTCTCAAACATATGAATAAGCAGGGAAGAGCCACAGTTGCTCCCAGCAACAAGGGAAGAAAAGAAAGGTTTGAAGCTTCTTTATATTTATCTACCCTGTTCTCAGTTTAGGCAATAAAAATTAGAGCACAATATGAAATGAGCAGCAGTAAAGTTACTTAAAAAAACCACCAAACAACAAAATAAACAACCCACACCACACAGGGGCAAGAAGTAGGCAGAAAACCCCAGAACTCTCAACAGGAGATAAAGCTTAATGTGGCTGCTACATCTTTATAACAACTTTTCCACCTCTTTATTAATAAACTCCAAATGCCCACAGTGCCAGTGAAGCTAAAGCTTAACTCAAATGGTCTCGTTCCCAGTTTTAAATCAGCTCAGGGAGATGGCCACCCACCTGTAACTCCGTGTCCTGTGCAGCAGCACAGTGACTTCAGCAGAGCCAGTTATTTTACAAATTCTATCTATACTGTGAATATCAGCCCATCTTTTCTGCCACAATTCCTATACTGTCATTTACACTTAATACAATGCATCCTCTTTAGCTAGCAATTTCAGCCACCCATCCACATTTTCAGCAGAGAAGATTGATGCTTCTCCCTAACTATCTCTCTAAAAAAAGAAACTCCTTGTCTTCTCCACCTTACCCACCAAAGTTCCTGCTTACCTGCCACATGAAAACCCAGAGATAGTCACAGATCATGTTCAGAGTGGTCCTAAAATTAAGCTACTCAGTTGTTTAGGTTTTTTTTTTTCCTGTCACAAGCCTATGATTCTCTTCAGGTCTGTATAAGCCTACTCAAACTCAATCCGCTACCCAAGATAACAGCTGTGGTGTTACACATACAAGACATAATTCACCCAAGAGCCTTCCTTCTTCCTCCTCTCATCAGCAGAAGGACACCGATGGCCATCTTCTCTCTGCCCTAGAAACCAGGCAAGCCAATGTTCCCCCACACAAACACTCTTTTAAAAAAAAACCAAACAAACAATCTATACACAGTTCAGAACATGTGGCAAGCACAGTTTGGTAACTGATATATTATTTAGTCTCATTTTTTATTCTTTTCAGAAGTCACCTATGCCAAATTTAGCAACAGTAAGGAATTATCCAAGGTTGTGTGGAGCTGTCCCCCCAGGGGCTGTAGAACAGCAGCTGCCAAAAGAAAGGTCAGGCTTCCAATGTCAAGACTGCAAAAATCTACAAATACATCCTCGACCTACATTTAGGAACTAGAGACCTTTCTAGCAGCTACATTCCTTCATCTAATGTCACTGGGACATACCCAACAACTAGGACCGTTCAATCTTTTGAGCCAGAGCTTAATCCACAGCTCATTTGGGGGAACAGGTAAGAAACTGATCCCCGATTTCCCCAAAAGAGCCTCTCCATGTCCCTTCTCTGTGTGGTTACTTCTTCCTCTTCTTATTTTTGTAAACTTGTTTTCCAAGTTCAGAAGACTGCTGATTCTTTTCCCCTGGTGCCAAACACTGATCAGCACACAAACGCATCGCAGAGTTTTCCCTTCACATCTGGCATGAGCAAAACCACATTTGCACAGATCTGCTAAACAACAGATCACTTCTAGCATGAATGGCACCTCCTCAGCTCTGGATGCATCTGTCACCCACACCTTCTGCTAAGCTCCATCATCTCCAATGTACTTGATTTCTATCAAGACTATGCAAAACTCATTAACACGACAGATAAGAGCTGGCAATGGAGTGTTTTGTTTGAAATCCCGCCATAGCTTTCTGGGAAGAGGATGCCTGACAGTGCACTCTTTTCAAGAAGCAAAACAAACCAAATGAAAAGTTACTCTTCCTTTAAACAGTTATTCCTACTGGCTAGGTCAGGACTACTGGTGGAGACTTGCCAAAATTCAGCCCCACAGTGCACAGGGCTAACGAATTCCCAAAGTAAACCAGGGATGTGTTGAGTTACTGTATCTTGGCTAGGCCACATATTTTTACTTCTTAAGATCCTGCTGTGAATAGAAAAATTTGATTTGCAGTTTTGAGGGGACATAAAGTGAGCTCCATTACACACATAAAACTATGAGGGAAGTGAAAAGATAGCTCTGGTAGAGCTATTTGAGTTAGTGCCAGATATGAGAGTGTGAAGGCAAATCTGAGCCAAAAAAGCACTGGGTACTACCACAATCCTCCTTGCTTTTCTTTCCACAGAGTTTAGACAGTGTCCAAAGGCTCTCTTTGGGAAACAAGTCTATCAAGTGACAGCGTAAGCAAAAGAAGACAGTTATATTAAAAGAGCACAGCATCTAATTTCAGTGCCCATGTATTTATACAGACTCAACGGCATCCTTTCATTTCTGTATGTTCCAGAAGCTTTATTTCCCCAGTATGAATAAGAGAAGTCTCCAGAGGAAAAACTAGTTTCTGTTTTAAATACATTAATAATATCAATTTTCTCTTGAAGAGACAATCTTCCAACTCTCCTCCCAAAATACATTTTTCGTGCTGACTCCTAACATGTTATACAAACACAAATTAAGACACTGGATCTTTGTTCCATTCAAACCAGTAACAGAGGATGCCAAGCAGAGCTGCCCAGTAAAGGCCCTGCTGAAGTAACTGGTTTGTAGGATATGGCACAGCCACAGGATCCAATCTCTGGAGGTCCAGCAGCAGAGTCCAGTTTGAACACCTCCATTTAGGCCCCAACCTATCCATTTTTTCTTCCTTGCACACCCACACAGCACCCACCTCTTGCTCTGGTCTGGCCAGACAGAAACACTTCACCAGCCCACTCCTTCAGCATGCCCCAGACTAAAGCAGCAGCTCTGGGGCCACACATATCAAGCCCAGCTACTGGGGGAACGTTTGCTGTACAACCAGCTGTGCCCCAGCCACCCTGAAAGGAAGACTCCAGCCAGAGGACTGCAAACTGGAACCAGGTGTTAGAGGGAACATTAGCGGGTTACAAAACAAAACCAAAAGAGCTCTGTAGAGCTTGCAACTGCCAAAAAACAGTCTCCAGAAGATTCTTCCAGGAGGTTTGGATTAACAGATAAAATTAGAACAGTACCATTTGGTGCAGTAGGTGGTGACCAGACACCGAAGTATTTTGGCAGATATTCCCGCAGCTCCAGAAGAATGCTGTCGCAACAGCCGGAGTCATAAACCTGAAATAAATTAGGGAGGGGTGGAGAGATCATCAGTTTAAAACATTCATTTTATACTTCCAATTGTCCCATAATTATAATTTCTAACAGTCCTTGTTTTCATATGTTTAACATTTCTACTTGACACTTAAAGGCAAAATGAAGATGATAATTATCACAGTCCAACATAAATAAATGGTATCCTCTCTTCCAAATTTTGAAGTGGAAAAGATGCATCAACTCTAAGAATAACTTATGCCTTAACTTGAATAAAGATCTAAACTCTGTTAGTAGTGAAAAGGGTGTTCTCCCATATGGGATCCAAAGTGAAGCTTCTTAAGTTCTACCAGGTAAAGTACACAAGCTCAGACTGGCTAGGATTTCCTCATTTCCTCCAAAACAACTCAGCCTGTAACAACATCACACAGACAATGCCCAATTCAAACTTACTTCTTTGCATTCACTTTAATACTTCCAACATCTTTTTCAACTTCTCTGAGAAAAACAAGAGCAGTTTGGGAACAGCTGCTGGCTTATATGCCTGAAGGAGCAATTCTCTGCCAAGTTAAAAATGAAGCCTTGGATACTAGCGGCTAGAGAATCGCATGACTGTCACCCGTCTGCAGCCGTGTTGTGAAGAGGGTTTCAAAACCATTCCCTTGTCCAGATGCCCCCAACCCCGCCCGAACACCTAATAACATCTAGTCACAGACACAGAAAACACCCTTCACAGACTAAAAGTTTTATATCCACTTAACTACAGGTTACAATGTTTATTCCTGCATTTAGGAGCCATCTCGTCCTAGTCCCCTGGCAGCTATCCCTGTCCTGATGCTATCAGACTCGTGTGCTGCTCCTCAGCCCTGCAGTGGCTGCCCAGCAATACCCACAGGCACTGCACACCAGCGACCAGGGCCAGCTAACCACTCTGCTTTCCCTTCAGCAGGCGACGTGTGGAGCGCGCTCAGAGCCCTCTGCAAAGTCCAAAGCGATGCAAAAAATTACTGAAGGTGTTTGAGCAGAGTTGGCTCAGCTCACTGCTTCAAGAGCTACATTTAACCACCGTGGGAGAATATCTTGTAAAGGAAGCTACAAAGGCTAGGTACTGCAAAATAGATGCCTTTAGTGCTGTAATATTAGTACATCTAGGGAGGGAGAAACCCAGAGGTGAAGTCCAGCTGCTATTTTAGAGCACCAAGGCAAGCCTTGGCTACGACCCCTGAGCCAAGGCTCTGTGTCAGTAGACAGAGCCTTACGCGGCAGCAGAACGTTCAAATTAGTCAATGTGGGTTTGTGCTAAATTTAGGTTTCATTGCAGAAACCTCAAACTGGGCAAACTCAAATCACCAACATGTTTCAGATGCACAGCGTTGTGCCACAGCCCTTTAGGCACATCTGATATGGGGCTCTCCTGAGCTCGTACCAGTCACAATTCAGACACCTTTATGCCAGCACTGTTACTGGGCAGTGACTGAGAAGGTGACAACCAAACCCACGACAGCTTTACAGTACAGTGTCTAATTCAACCCGTTCCTTTAACTAGCTCATGCTATAAGCCCCTTTTTAAAGATCCTAAGGAAGGGGCTGAGTCCTCGAAGCTCAGCCCACAGGAACAGGAGCACAGCATGATGCAAGACGCTGGCGTGCACATACCATCCTTCCCTCTACCGCTGCTGTGGCTATCTGAAGCGTACCAAAGTTGCTGGGTGTGTCATCTTACAAGTCACAACGTCACACCACATTACCTCCTCGTTTGACAGGCTGGCATCGTCTCTGAGGACTACAGAAAATTGTATATCTAGGCCTATTTTTCCTCCATGTTAACATGAGCTAGCATGCTGATGGTCTTGTGCTTCAACACAAAAGAAATCTTGCTTTTCCCCGAGATCAGTGGCCACTGCTTATTTTTATTTATGCAACGTTTCTTTGCTGAGCTCAGATATTGCCAGCAGAAGACAGTGCTTTCCCCAGAACACTGCAATGTAGCTTAATTTTACTAATTTAAGGAAGAAAAAAAAAGTTGTGAGAAGAGACAAAGATGAGCACCACACAGATGCTGAGGCACAGACCCATCCACTGCTATCTTCTCTAAGGGAATTCACTGTTGCCCACTGTACAGACGGCTGTTTCTGGGCCAGGACTCCAAGCACTGACTGGTGGAATTACCTCATGATGTGGGTTTTTTCAGACAAGAAGTACAAGCCTAGTTTTTGTTTACTGTGGTAGTTTATTATCCTCATGGCCAAAACAGGGGACTACACTACATCCATCATAGATACTCTTATCCCAGGGAATTTAAGCAGATCTGAGAGGCAGTGACAATCATGCAGTATCCCAGCCTTTACATAGGACCAAATACATATATATTTGTAAATATATATAATATATTTTTTTAAATAT